GGTGGCTCAGTTGGTCAAGTGTCTGACTCTTGATTTCGGCTCAGGTCATGATCTCAGGGTTGTGAGATGGAGCCCTGTGTCAGGCTCTGCGCTGAAAGTAGAATCTACTTAAGATTCTCTCTCCCTCACCCTCTGTTCCTCCCCGCCTCAAAAAAAAAATCAAGTGCCTGTTTTCATGAATGGGGAAAAAAAAACACAAAAAAATGACTACCCCCTTGAGATAGAGGAGAGTAAGCAAGTAAAATGATAAAAATAGTTGAGATTATGGGGTGCATGGGTGGCTCAGTCGTCAAGCGTCTGACTCTTGGTTTTGGCTCAGATCGTGATCTCAGGGTCGTGAGATCGAGGTTCCCCACCACCACCATCGGACTCTGTGCTCAGCACAGAGTCGGCTTGAGATTCTCTCCCTCTCCTTCTCCCTCTCTCGTTGCCCCTCTTCCCAATGGCATGCTCTCTCTCTCAAATAAATAAATAAAACCTTTAAAAATTGGTTGAAATTTTGAAAAAAGCATCTATTAAAATAATTTAAAAATCAGGAGAACAACTTTGTTATATAATCCCATGCGTATTTTTACTTACCTTCACCTCAATTTAAGGATTAACCATAATTATGGGAAAGGCTCCAGATTAAGAAATGGCAGAGAAAAGAATAAAAACGTTACTGCATATATATTAGTTGACAATGAGTTTTCATGCATGTGCTTCCATATAACTTTCCTAACAATTTCCTGAGACAGTTTTTATCATCACTTAATATAGAAGAGGAAGTAGAGGTTCAGACAGGTTTAAAGAAAACCTGTGCAATAGGATGTTTTTCAATGATGTAAATGTTCTATAAATCTGCATTTTTCAGTATGGTAGCCACTGGGCCTCATGTGACTATTGAGTATGTGAAATCTTATTAGTACATCTGAGGAATACATTCTGAATTTTATTTAATTTTAATTAAAATATAGGTTTAAATAGTCACTTGGTGGCTTGTGGCTATCATATTAGACAATGCAACCAGTAAGTAAATACTCACAGAATTAGCATGTTGCTCCTGTTGTAATTAAACTTTGGAGAACATTTGAGCATGTGTGTGGGTACTTTGTTAGATCTGAAGGAAAGTACCGTCATTTAAAATTGGAGATCCTGCATGGATCAAAGTTCTGACAGAAAGTTTTTAAGAAAAATGCTGATTAGCCACTTTATCCTTTTTAAAGGCGGGCCTGTTTTCCTTTCTTCCCCCCCAAGTTTTGTTTGTATTCTTTTACTCCTTGAAGTAATTTTAACTAATTTTTTTAATAAGATTTACTTAGTTTTGTGGTTTTAAGGTGGTTTATTTTAGGGCAGAATACATTAAATCACCTAAATCAGAATTATCAAGTGTACAAATGTAGAATTCTATTATTTTCCTTTTGATTGGAAGGGATCTAGTCTCTACAAGGAAACAGGTAGTGTCAACGTTCCCCAAATTTCAAACATGCAAGAAGCATTTGCTGTAATAAAACAGTTAATTTTGAATAACTTCCCATTGAAACTGGTGATCTGGAATTGTTTCTAATAATGTAAGAGTTTACATTATTACATTATTACAACTCTTTGTCAAAGAGTTCCCTTCTTTGACAAAGAAGGGAAATGAGGGCTAATAGAGGGAGCTAATTGGTAGAATAAGATCCCAAAGTAAGCAGGAAAGAGAGCATTCAAGATCAGAGAAAGGAGGGACCAGAGGGACGATTT